GACCTTCTTCTCTAAAATAGTGCTAAATCTGTAAAGACGAAGATCTAATTACAGTGGGAAGGCGCAGTTCAAGATATCCGGCTAAACGTCTTACTGACTTGGAGTACACAGATGATAGTCTTGGCGAGTAGTAGAGAAGCAGGCTGCGACACAAGATGACTTCTGTATGCTACACAGCTGCTCAAGAAGGCCTCTTCCTTAATGACAGGAAGTCAGAAGATCTAAGGAACCTAATGAGCACAGCTGATCTGGAATACAGAGGTGAAACGCTTGAGAAAGTTTACTAATTAAAGTGTTTCTGCTCCATCATCTCTGGCGATTGCACCATCCAAACAGAGTTTAAAAAATCACCGTAGCTTAGAATGCTTTTGAAAATGCGTCGAATAATTGGAGTGAGAAAGCGGCGGTACGTCTTTACAAAAATCCGCCTGTACCTTGCCTCATCACGTCAGTGATATTCTACAGCAGGGAAAGTTGTTTTATTGCACTAGCAAGAGAGACGACTGAAATGCGTACACTAGGGTCAGCTGCGACGCATTATACGGTTTAAAGGGAGCAAGCACGTAAGGAATGACTACTGTCTTCCGGACACAGGTGATTTAGGCAAATGGGGCTCTTACGAAACAAAGGTATGCCGTATTTGACAAATTGGTTAACATAACATAACCGTTTGCTTCAAACCATGAAGTTCTCGTGTGGAAGTCAAAAAACTGCCGATGTCGACCAAGGCGCCAACATGCAACATGGAGGGCCAATGCAGAGACAGATATGCATTCAGAGATGCATATGTTCTTCTAGGATGCAATTAGTGGTGCTTTATAAAAAAAGTTTTTAAAATGCACCAATACAACGGACATCTAAAACCAGGGAGGCTGGGGTTTTTCAAACGGCTCTAGTGATTATGTCATTAAATACTAACAGTTTGATCACATCGTAGATTCTTCGGTCATTCGATCGTCAATCCAAATAATTGCATAAACATCTAAGCCGTGCAAGGTCTTGCAGTGATCTTTCAATCATTTTACGCTCTACACTGACCTCAAGAAACTCCAAAAATACTAAGCATAGCAATAAATTCTTTATGCAGCTTTGACAGAACATTGGTTTCGGTCCTACTTCTTCAGACCATGATGGTTTAACTTTCGATATTTGAAACCACACTTTGCATCAGCAGAGCGATGGTCATATCACACTCTGCCTTAACAAGTACAACAGCTTGAGAGTGGTATACCGTACGACAGACAAGTAACTATTTGAGCAATGGATCAGTGAAAGATTAACGTCCTGATCACAGGTGGTATGAACCTGAAAGCCTATGCGCACCTTACAGTTGTGACGGAACAACATATTATTAACAAACGGTAGTCACAGCTCTTATAATGAGCAAATAAACAGCCTCGTGTATGATTCATTATCACATGATTTCAAAACGAACACTAATATCTGTCACACTGATTCAGATGATGCAGATAGACGGATAACCTGACGCTAAGGGTTTCATGGATAAACCAAAGTGCTAAAAATACCATGATCTCACTTAAAAAATACTGTTACCGGATTGAAACAGCGAAAATGCACAGTGTAAGGGAAGAAAAATCTTTCTTACTTGACACTAGCAACTCTACTGCACCGCCCTCTAGCTTGTAGACCCCCAGAGGAACCATTTAAGCAGGTTACGGTATTTAAGCGTCTGCGGTGCAGAGGACGCAGGACCGCATCTTAAACTGAAGTTGATTAAAAGTATATTTAGCTAAGATTGTCACGATCGATATTTTGTTCATCGTTCTCCAACGGATCGTTCCGCTAATGACTACTGTTGACCGCGAAATGACTACCCCTCACGCGGGGAGTGGGGGCGGGGAGGG